GAGAGAGAGAGAGAGAGAGAGAGAGAGAGAGAGAGAAGGGAAATCACTGAGTTTGGTGATATTCTTATTTCACAATTTTAATTATTTATCAAATCTCTGCAGGAAACCAGTTTAAGCCCCAGTAACCTGCCCCCACAGCCTCAATAAGTCTTTCTAAAGCACTTTCCTGCTGCCCCCACCCCACCCCAAGCAGAATTCTTCTTCCTCCTCCTTACTGTCAGTTTTATTTGCTAATTGCTTAGAGAACTTCCATATTTATAGGTTTCTATCACCTCAGTCACCCTGGAGTGTTCTTTTCTTTTTTTTTTTTTTCCAGGCTGTAATATCCAAAATGTTTTGTATCTAATGAGTACTCAACTAAGGCTTATCTAGTTGAAGGTCATTTGCTACTTCAACAACTAAACCTCAGCGCCCCTAGCATTAAAGGGATTCATGTGATAAAAGCTTCAGTGTTTCTGAAAAGGAATACATATATAATGATATTCACAACTCCTTTGCTGAAAAGGTAGAACTATTTCATATGCTTCTGTTTCTTGTTAATCTCCCATTGGACACCTCATTTCTATTTGCTGAATTTCCAAAGGTAAGAGAAGCCCAAGCTGTTGAGAAACTGCAGGGAGCAAGAGTGATACAGCCAGCTGCCAGCACAGAAAGCAAACCCATTCCAGGTGGAGAACAACCAAAAAATCTTTATCATCCTGTGACCTGTGTCAAGTGTGTTGAAAGCCTGCCAAAAGCACCTGGTTTCCAATGAAGCATTGTAGAATAGGTTAAGCTGTGTTTCACTGATGAAAGGTGAAGAAATGTGGTTGGTAGTTTAGAGATGTTTTAAACCATTCTTTTTCTCTGTCTTACCTCCTATGAATTACAGGTTGAATACCCCAGATTAGGGATGCAGTGTATAAAGCACGATAGGATATTAGAGTGAATGACTCATAAGATAACTTCTGCGTCCATGATTTTATAAGACCATGACTGGAAAGGTTATGGTTTGAATTTTCCTGAACTAGTGCACTTTTACAACCAGGCTTAAGGGCCTAACTATAAGTCTGTATAGTTAAAAAGCATATAGTTAGAAAAAAATTGTTATAAAGGGAAATTTGATATTTCTATTGAAAGTGTAAACTGGTTTTTTTTTTGGGTTTTTTTGCCATTATCCCAGTAACTCTACTAAATATTTATTCTTGGGAAATAAGATTATGTGCTAAGATTTAACTGTAAGATGATTCTTTGCAGAGTTGTTTATAATAGTGGAAGATTCACAGAAAAGAAAAACAAATTCAAATGTCTAAGAGAAGAATAATTATCAATCTAAAGAATGGAATGCTAGGTAAAATATCAAGCCATTGTTATAAATTAATAGATAAATATTATCATGGTTAATGGTTATGATTTTAATTGAAAAGTTTCAAATGTATAAATGATACATAGGATATTAAAAACTGAAATCTAGAGGCAACAGATCTGATTTAAAGCTAGGCATTTGGACCAGCCAAATAGCTCAGTGGATTAAAGCGCTTGCAAAAAGGCGCAGGGGCCACAAGGGCGGGGGATTCGACCTGGGCCTACCATGCTGGCCCTACCCCATGAGCGCACTGAGATGACAATTAATACTGGGCATGGTGGAGCACATCTGTAATCCCAGCACTTGGGAGGTTGTAAACAGGAGAATCAGTATGAGTCCAATCTAGTAGTGAGACCCTGAACACCCTATAGACCCTTCCCTAAAATACAGGAAAAAAAAATGCCAGGCATTTCTATTTCCTGTCTGTCTATATGTTTTTGGACCTGAACCTCCAGTTTCTCAGTGATAAAATTGACATTATTTACCTCCTAATGTTTTTCTGCTTTAAATGAAATAGTATTTGTATATATGTGCTGCCGAAGCAAACACTGAAATAGTATTTGTCAACCATTTATTACAGTGCATGATACATAGTAAAACCTGAGTATGTTTTGCTTTGGTAATCATTGAATTTATAGAAGGTGTAAACTACAATATATTTTAATATATGTCAGTATAACATAAAGTCCAATATTAACAGTGGTTAACTCTCTTATTACTGAAATGTTGAGGAACTTCAAAATTTTTTATGTTAATCATAGCATAGAAATCACATAGTGAAAAGCATAGAATGTCTTTTTAACTTGGTTACTTTTAAAATGTTTTGTTTTAATTCCTGTTGACATTGAAAGGCCCTACGCTTAGTGGCTCTCTGCTTAGTTGAGACCTCATCAGGTCATCAGTAGGACTTGCTGAGTGTTGGTGGCATCCATGCTATAAAAAGGATAAATGACAGGCCATAGAGTTTGTCACCTCTGATATAAACTTAGATTTGTTTTGTAGCAACCAGCAGTGAAGTCCAGCTCAGCAAATACTGTGTTTAATATCAAGAACTGATTGGTTGCTACCTTTGCTTTGTCTTGACAGCCAATAAGAGAGAGAGAGAGAGAGAGAGAGAGAGAGAGAGAGAGAGAGAGAGAGAGAGAGAGAGAGAGAGAGAGAGAGGAAAGAGGCATTAAAAGCTATATTTATATCTTTTGATTAGTGCACTGGAGAAAGAGGCCTACCAAGCTGTCCTAAGTCCATTGACCTTCACATCTACACTGCTGGCTACTCTAGATCAGAGAGGAGCTTGTAAAAATTGACAATGTATATTGCAGACATGGAAAAAATACATATTGGAAAGTGTGGTTTATTAGTGTTTTCTGTTTAACTTTCTTTAGAAATAAAATATTACTTAGAACTGTACCACACATTTCCCAAAAGGCTCATGCCCACCTTTGGCGAGCTGGCTGGAAGTTGGTCCTGGTTTAAACAGGAAGGCCAGGGACCCTATTTTCTCTCTAGGACCCTCATAGTTTTCCCCACTGTATGGTAGTTGGTTTTTTTTTTTTTTTTGAGTTTTATCAACTTTTTTTTAAAAAAGGTTTCACTTGTGATCCATTTGTTAGAGAACTACTCAGTTAGGAAGCAGTGAAACATACTTACTTACAGTCCCATACCAATGTAATAATATTGCAATGGCCAAAATGCCAATATCCATAATGGCTCTGCTATAGAGTAGAACATGCACATCTGTGACTCCACTCCACCCAAAGGATCTATGAAGCTCCAGTGAAGTTTTCTGCCCAGGAAGCCTGTCACTTTCACAACTATGTCCCTACAGGGCCGGGGTAGTTGGGTTTTAAAAAGAGCATTGGTAGCAACAAAATCTTCTCTGGATAATGAAAGATTTAACAGTGACAGAGTTGCCTAGTTTGGTTGTTCTTCATGCAGTGTTATACATTTTAATCTAAAACCGACCAAGTAAACTGAACTAGTGAACTACCTAGTCATGAGAATTTCTTAGGCAAATGGATCCATTTTTCCACTACATATGGAGGTATTTTCATCAAGAATTGGCAAACTAGACAATTAAATTAACAAAAATTATTCCAAATTTGATCATTACTCCATGCAGTGACAATGGAATTCCCTACCATTATTTTTTGTTATTTATTTATTTATTTTTGATACAGGATCTCACTAGGCAGTTCAGGCTGGGATTGGAGTCTCTACATAGCCCCAGCTGGTCTCAAACTCATAGCAATTCTCCTGCCTCACTCTCCCAAGTGTGGGGATTATAGACATGTACCACCAGACCTGGGTGTTTATTATGGCTATTTTTAAAGGCCTCTAGAATTGAGCTCTCTTTCCAATCCTATCTCATAATTTCCTATAGTTTTGCATCAGTAGACTTATGTCCCCTCAACACTTAGACCAGAGTCATGCGTGGAGCCTGTGCTTGATACAAGCTTATTGAAAAGATGAATAATTCAGGGCCCCTTGCTTTGCAAACTCAATCACTCTATCGCCAAAATGGCAAAACTGCTTGTGAGCTACTCCACAGGGGAGCTAATTAATTCTCTGAAACTGGAAAATATTTTGAAGTTCCACAGTACTTTAGAAGCACTGAAGAGCATTAATATATGCAATAAAGACATTATTATTAC